TTTGCAGGGTCAAAGTAAAAAAAAAATTTTTTTAATAATAATTCATAAATTTATATTTTATAATTCAATTTTCTTTTATTATTAGGCTGAAAGCACAACATATGTTTTTGTATTATGTTGTCCAATAAATATTTCCTCAATTGTGTTCTTATTTGGGAGCCATTCTTACTTGGTTACATTGGTACACCAATTGCTACTATATTAACAAATTGGTTGATATTATTTCTCACTTTCTTTTATATAAAATACATTGATGGATATGATACTTGGGGAGGATGTCACATTTAAGCTTCAAAGATTGGTCAACATTCATGAAACTTGCATTACCAGGGGGTTATTTTGGAATTGTATCTTTAGCAAATCATCGATTAATTCTTACAATTACACTAATATTATATCAGATACCACATAGTTTAGCTGTAGCAGCTTCAAACAGGGTTGGTAATTTATTGAGTACCGGTTTACCAAATAGAGCGACAATAGCTACAAATACTTCACTCATACTTGCTGTCATGAGTACTATATGCAATGTAACGGTATTATATAAAATATTCAAAAATGTCTAACTATAATAGAATGAATATTTCTTCTAAGAAAATTGTTACAAATTATAATTAAGCAACTATCAAAAAATTTGCTATACTCATACTTCATTGAACACACGCATGTGAAACATATATTTAATCAAATCGTTATAATTACTTTGTTACAAAGTGGCTTATACCATTTTCTAATTTAAAAAATGAAATAAGAAAATTAATAATTGAAATAAATTGAAGAATGATATGAAACATGCATAGATTTGAAGCATTTACCAATTTCCCCAAGTTTCTATTGGCTGAGATTTGCACCAATTTACATATCACTTTCTATTTAAAATGGTACACCTTAGTTAGGGCTTGGGATTAGCGTTAGTAAACAATCTTACACTCAAATTTTGCAAGAAATTTTTTTTGTTAGTGCCCAGAAGGTGATTTCTTAGACGAAATTTTGAAATAAATTTGACTTTTCGAAAAAAAA